TTCCATTTAGCCCCCCCCCACACACACAGCCAGTGCCCACAGAGGAAATATGATCTAAACAGCTTCCTTTGCAGAAAGAATTCTAAGAAAGAAGGCTTTACTTAACTGAAAGAAATTAGAATTTTTCTCTGAGCAGGTTAAACACCTAGCAGCTGCCTCCCCTCCCTCTGCTCCCTCTCAGAGGCTTCCTCAGGGCACTTCTCCTAACATCCTGAGCTTCCAGGAAATTGCCCTTCCTTGGCTGTGATAGGAGAGGAGAGGGAGGCGGCCTGGGAGAGTGCCTTATTATTCTCAGGTTCTAGAAAGAGGAAATGGAGGGCTCTTCTAGGTCAAGTGCCTGCTAAACTTTCCTTCTAAACATAGCAGCCGGAGATTTAGGCACCAAAGGAGAAACCTGAGTCCTCCATTTCGGATTGCCTGGTAGAGAAATTTAGGGTAATATTTTGCTCACCCTGAGGACTGAGAGTCTAAAAATCTCACTCCTGGTTTCTCTCCCTTTTTTCTCCTTTGGGCAGCCTTTCTGCACCGACCCTATCAAGCTCTTGCTCACGCCTTCTCAGCTCCAACACCTTCAATGGCTCACTGTTTTCTTTCAAGGAGTCCCAGTTTAAATCTTACTGCTCCACAAACTATTCCCGGAGCCCCCAGATCAACTTGCTCCCCTGCGCTCTCTGTCCTTTTAACAACTATACTCTTCATTTAACATTTAATACATTTTCAGGCATTATTTACTATGGTTAAATAGGAGTTCATCTCATGTCCATAGTAGGTTGAAAGCTCTCCAATGAAATGATTCACATCCTGTGTGTTGTACACGCCATAGTATTCAGTGTTTTCATTCTTAGTTCTTCATGTATGTTATGGGTCATTTGGAATCTGATAGAAATGAAGGCATTCTCTGGAAAATGCACCTATTCTTGGAGTTTGCATGAGAGCTTAGAGGGTTGGCAGTTCCCTTGTTGCCCACCAATGGACTCCAGATTAATAATACCTGACGTAGTGAATAGTCCTGTTGACTGAGCGAATAATAGGTGCTCGGTAAGTGTCAGTGGATGTGTGACTCTCCCTGTTTTTCCCCCGCACAGATTGCCCTGACATTCTCGATTGTCTTTGCGGTCATTGTCTATCGTATCACAACGGCAGCTGCTCTGTCTCTCAACAAGGCCACACGCTCCAATGTCCGCGTGACAGTGACAGCTACAGCAGTCATCATCAACCTCGTGGTCATCCTCATCCTGGATGAGATCTATGGCGCCGTGGCCAACTGGCTCACCAAAATCGGTATTGTGCCCCCACATCTGTCTTTGCCCTATGCCCCCTTGAACATGGTCAGTTCAGTGTGGTTTTGGTGGTAATGACCCACCATGAGAAAAGGAACAGGAACAAAATGCTTTGCACAGTGCATTTTAATTGGAGAAATGAGGGATTACAGTGGTTATGTGTAGATAGGTCTCCAAGGGCCTCCCCTCAGGTAGAAATCCTTCTCATAACATCCTCTATCTATAGTCCTCCAGCCCGAGTCAATTGCCTCACTATCCCCTAAGAATAATCCATGGGTCTATTCTTTTTAGCCTAACTCAGAAGCAAGACAGGTTCGACACTTCCTGTTAAAAATCGCAGTGTTTTAGCTCTCCTCATTTTCCCAGCAGTGATTATAAAGTTGAGAAAGCCTCTTGATACTTGAGCTCAAGAGGGTCTTATCTATCCCCATATTGTCAGAGGCCCCAGAAAATCCACACATTCCCCATGCACTGAGCAGACTTCAAAGAGGCATATCAGACTTCCCAAGCTTCAAGACAGTGAGAAAAATGCAGTGGCCTCAATATTCAGACGTGTCATTTGAGCTGCAACCTGCTGTTGCCTGAACACCACTTCTTGGCAATTGTGCTTGTGAGACGGGAAGGAGTGGGGGCTGCTGAGAGCTGAGAGCCTTTCCTCATCTGCTTTGTTTTGAGGGGCCTGGATGTACCCCTCTCCCTCGTGAAATCTAGGGACACAGAGTTTCGGCGTCTTACGAGCCTCTGGGAAGTCGAATTAATGATATGATGTCTTTAATTCACTGACCAGTTAGCAGCTAGACCTTGATAGGATAACCCCCTCTTCAAGGGAGCCTTCCCTGGAGGATCAGAGAATTCCGGAAAGGTTTCGCTAATTCCAGTTACTCTTTCAGTGCCTTTCCCCATCTTGGCCTCTATTCACAGTGGGCATTTACCTTTGGTTTCTATGTGGATGTAGGCAATTTACCATCTAGAGTGGCAGTTCTGCTCTCTTTAGGCCTGTGAATAATTGTAAGTGTTATCTGTATTCCTTCCTACCCTTCCTGAGATAGGCAGGCAGAGCATTTTACCTCAGTGTATTTAGTGGTAGACAGGATTCTATGGAAGCACTTAGGAGGACCATCCAACACTCCTTGGGGCTCAGGGGAGGCTTCAGAGGTAGAGCCATCCAGCTGGAGAGCTCAAAGATAAGTGGTGGTCAGAGGGAGGAGGGGGTGGGCCGGAGGAGAGGGTTCCTGGCAGAGGAGGTAGAAAGAGAAACCCAGCACTGACGGGGGAGATCAGATCCCTCGGGGTGAGGAAAGGCACACAGAGAAGGGGCATGTGGCTGGGCTTGTACGACGGGTAGGTAGGTAGAATTTCGGTGGGCCTGAAAGCCAGGGAGCTGAGGAGCAGGGCTCCGCACAGGGAAGAAGGAAAACATGAAGCATTTCCAGGATGCCAGAGGAGCCCAGTAGGGTGGTTGCTGTAGGGTCCGTGGCATGTCCAGGGCACAGCATAGTGGGGAACTGGCCCCAGAGCATTGATGATACCTCTTTTTATGTGGAAGACCTTGAATGCTAGGTTGAGGACTCTGCTTATTTCCATAGACAATAGAAAAATGTTTGCAGGAGTTCAAAAGGGCATCCAATGAAAAGCCCCCATCATCCTGGCCTGAGTACTGAACTAGCTGAGAAAGTAAGTAAAGGCAGATATAGACAAAAGCCAGGACATCGTCTTTAAAGCTGAAAAGGCCACATTGGAGGAAGCAGCTTAGTGGGAGAGTCAACTAGGCTTCCTAACACTGGATTCCAGGCAGATTTACCCTCCCAATGGTGGGCAACAAGTCTTAGGGCAGGTCTGCAAGTCTTAGGGCATGGGGGGCAGGGCACAGACAAATGCTTGCTTAGCACAGGCCCTTTGTTCCCCAAAGGAAGAGATGAAAAAGTGAGTAGAGGAAGAATGCCAGTGTTACCTTCCAGACCGACCAATGAGATCAGCTACTCCCCCTTCTGTCACCCAGGAGGAGAAATGAGTGAAGTGTGGGGGACGAGGCATTGTAGCTAATCACACTCTTGCCACATGGAAGGAACATCAGCAGTGGAAAGATATGTCACCTCAACAGCTCCTGACTCAATAGCTCCCACCACCACTGAGGAGTTTTTGAAGAGCGTGATGTGATGGGGGCTGTATATTTGCAGAATTACTCGGGTGGGGATATAGGATGCCACAGCGTAGAGAGGCTGGACGATCTAAAGTAAAGGAGATTACTGAGTGTGTGGGCAGGAAGTAGGGGAGAGAGGAGCAGGGAATCAGGGAGGATGCAGAAATGTCTTCTTGCTGTCCATTTGTGTTACTTTATTTTCCTTTTCTTGCACAGCTCCAGATAGTGGTAAAGACAGAAGATAAATGGAGTGGTAGACAATCAAAAACTCAGTAACAAGTATTTAGCGAGCACCTTCCATGTACAAGGCTGGGCAAATTCTCTTTGCATCGGGCCATAAAACAATGTCCTTACCATGAAGCTACGTCTGCCACTTCTAATAGCATTCCCTCCCTCACCCCAAAAGTTCAGACCCCTCCTGGCTATAAAACCAATGTCCAGTTCTCCATAAGAAAGCCTGTGCTCTGGAAAGGAGATGCAATTCTAGCAAGTATGTGGTTTTTTTGTTTGTTTGTTTTGTGATGGCGGTATTCATGAAGTATTTTTAAACTAAAAAAAATTAATTCTGTTATCCTATTTCATCTTGACAAAAACTATGTGTGGTCAGCAAGAGAAGTATTCTATCTTCATTATACTAAGGTTCAAACTCTGATTCTGCCTCTAAAATTCAAATATCTTTTGTGCTATTTTGATGTACGTTTCTTACTGTCTGGACTGAAGTGGTGTCTTGGGTCTCCTCTCAGGAACCCTGCAGGCTTTTTTGCAGGTCGTTGCTCTTTGTCTGTCTTAGAATGGATGTTTCCAGAGGGCTCAGAGGTGTGGCCATGTAGTGGAAGGACCACTGAATTCGGGAGTCCAGTGGAAAGAACCTGTGAGTTCTAGATCTGGCTCCTCCTCCCTACCACCCCTAGCTGTGTGGCTTTGGGCAAATAGGAAACTTTTCTGGACCAAGTTTTATTGATTCTTTCCTAGTCATTTTCCTCCTTCCTGCCCACAGATCATTACTCCTATCTTGACTGCTGTCCCAGCCTAATGACTGTGCCCTTGTCTTTAGCCCCTTTCTATGGACCTCTCTCTTAGAAATGCCACCCAATCAGCCTTTCTCAAACAGTGGGTTTGGTGGGGGGGCATCACTGCCATTCAGCCCCAATAGAGAGCTGCCTTTTGCCCTTAGGTCAGATATAAACTAGAATTTGAGGCTCTCAATCACCTTCTTCCCACTTTCTCCAACTCAGCCAACCCACTCAAATCACGGTCACCCCAGACTGCCCTGTGTCTTCCTATCCCTGTGTCTTGCTCAGGCTGCTGTAACGGCTGTAATTGCTGTTTTGTTTTCTCACCCTCCAGGAAATGTTCTTGTCTACTGTCCATCTTTCCGTTATACAGTGTAAATACAAGAAGACAGGGGCCACACGTGTCTTTCTTGTCTGCAGCTGTTTCCAGAATTGTGCCTGGCACAAAGTAGGCACTCAGTCAACATCTGAGGGATGAACAAACGAATGAATGATCTGTGCCCCAGGAGTTCAGAAGTGGGTAGGAGGAAACCCACTGAGGGCTGAGTGCCCAGAAAAGGATTCTTGGGGGAGGTAGGCCTCAAGAGGTCCTTTAAAGTGAGGGTCCCTGGGGCCTTCCTGGGCCACAGATCATTCGTTTGTTCATCCCTCAGATGTTGACTGAGTGCCTACTTTGTGCCAGGCACAATTCTGGAAACACAGCTGTAAACAAGAAAGACACGTGTGGCCCCTGTCTTCTTGTATTTACACTGTATAACGGAAAGATGGATAGTAGACAAGAACATTTCCTTGAGGGCGAGAAAGCAAAACGGGGCAGTGTGATAACTGTGGGTCTATGAACTTTGGATCGGGTGGTCGGGAAAGGTCTGTCAAGGTGGTAGCATTGTAGGTGAGACCTGAACAACAGGAGGGCAGCAACCACACAGAGATCTGCAGGGATAACACAGGAGGAGGCAACAGCAGGGGGACACAATACCACAGGCTGGGTGGCTTATTGGCCACAAGGTGGGAGTCAGCTTGGAGTGTGTTATCTACTCCACTCACTGGAATTGATCACGTCCTGTCTGGTATCATTCCTGTATTTGTGTGAGTGCGTGTGTGTGCATGCATGTGTGTGTGCGTGTGCGTGTGCGTGTTGTGTGTGTCTCCCAGTATTAGAACAGACAAGGCTATGCTAGGGTAATAAATTAATCTTAAGATCTCAGTTGCATAGCGTGGCGTTGTTTATTTGCTCTTGCTCACACTACATGTCTAGTGTGAGTCCAGGGGCCTCTTCTTCACAGTTAGTTGCTCAAGGACACAGACTGATGGAGGCCACTTGGACACCATATCAGGGGAAGAGAGAGCTGGGTGGTCACATAGAGGCTATGAAACACTTCAGTCTGGAAGTGTCATCCATCAGTGCTCACGCTGCACTGGCGAGAACCAGACTAATTATGAAGACACTGGAAAACATGTGCACGTGCGTGGACGTTCTGTGAGCTGGAAAGGTCTCTGCCCCTTGCTCCAACCAGGCTACAAAGCCCTGGAGAACAGCTACTCTGTCTTCCCTTGCTTTATATCTCCTACAGCGCCTCCCTCATGGCAGATCTTAGCATAAGTTTGTTGGTGCAGTTATTGGTGAAATCACCTCTCTTTTCATTCATGCATTCAAAAAAACTCTTTCAAGGAATGCCCAATAGGCTAGGCCCCCTGTAAGCCTTAGTAGAGGCTATAGTGAGCATTATGTATTCATTATTTCATCTCTGCTTGCTTACAGAAGGATTTGAGGAAATACTGAGATGAATAAGGCATATGCAAAGTTGTCCCTATGGGACAGTGACTGAAAGGTACAACGAAGGCATCAGA